TGCCCTTCCTCTGATGGATTGTCTGCGCCAGAGGACCAAGCGGTTTAACTTCTCTTCAGCAAAGTCTGTAAATTATGTTTTGTAACAAACCTGATTATTTGGGGTATTTAAATGTGGTAGTTCTAGGACAAGAATAAGTGAGGTTACTGGGCATACGATAGATACTGTAAGGACCCGTTGAGCATCTGGAGAAACGCCCTCAGTTTTTAGCACTCTTGTCTTTGCAGTTTTGCGGCTAGAGAGGAAGAGGACTGGCTTTCTTTGGCTTTAGTAATTATCCTGCACTTTAAAAACAAAACAAAAAATAAGGTCAGTCAGCCACATACCTTCCCTCCAGGCACTCGCTGAGTCTGTCTCTCCTCGGCGTTCGGGCGTGGGAGAAATGCGGTGGTCCAAACACACCGGAGCTGCTCAGAGCTCCCTTTCTCCCAGGCCTGTAGGCGATAGGGGTGGTAGCTGGGTGCCTCGGTGGGACTCCCAGCAGGGCAAGTGACACGTGCTGGCTCTATTCCTGTAGTGCTGGGGGCAGAGGGGGCCCTCAGAGCAGTGGGAGGGAGCAGGGGGAGCTGCTTGGGCTCGGCCTGCTGGGTGGCTGGCTGTGGCTCCCTGCAGCTCTTGGCATCTGCTCCCTGGAGGGTTCAGTGGAGCTTCTCCAGCTCCTGTGGAGTCCCGCCCCTCTTTATCCCTGCAGTTCAAAGGTGGAAGATATTAAAATTCCATCAAAAGGAGGATCAGGAGCAAATTATATGGGATTGTTTTTCCTTAGGGTGGTGTTGCTGCCAGTTAGTGCTTAGAACTTCCTGCCTGAACCTGGCTTTCAGGTGGGGAGTTTATTACTTCCACCGGACCGCAGGTCAGTAAGCTGTGCTTGCTTCACCGCAGGTACAGCAGTATCCATCAGGGGTTCAAATGCTCAGTGCTGTAACCGATACAGGAGCTTTGTCTTGCTGCGAGCGAGGGCGACAAAGTACCACAGGGAAGTGGAGTAGGCAGTGGCCCAGAGGCAGTTATTCCTTTTTGGACTTTATCCTGAGCATCTTCCAAGTCTTTTCAGAAATGGCAGCTGTGTGTGAAAGGGCAGAGCTAAAACGCTGTGTAGAGAAGAGCCATGTGGTCTAGTTTTCCAAGAGTACTTTTCTACTACAAATGAATATTTTATCTACCTCCGCATCTCTTGTTGCCTGTTGTGGAGTCAAGTAGCGACTGAAGTGGCAGATCATGTGTTAGTCAGTAGAACTGGATGCTAAAGGATAATGAGCAGAGCCACAGCTGTAAAGGTTCACGTAACAAATCTTGAGAGGGAGAGAAACCTGATGTAGGAAGTCTTAAACTTGTCGTCAGGCCGGTGCCTTGGCAGACACAAGACTACCTTGGGCTGTTCTAGAGGTTTAACTCTTCGCCTGGAATATCTAGTGCTGGCCTTAATACCCAGACATCTCACACGGAACAGCAGCTCTAGGATGCTGTTCCTCGGTGAGGGGGTTATTTGCTTCTGCCCAACTTCTTGCTCCAAGGATTCCGACTCCTGGCTCAGGGCTGTTAATGGCACGTTAACATTTTATAAACCAAAGGCGTCGTCAGCATCACCAGCTACGTTACTCCAGAGCTTCTCTTTCCGTCACATCCCAAACTGGGTAGGGAGAGGCTAAGATGAAGCATTAAGCTCAGTGGTACAGTTTTGGTTTGTCAAGGAAAGCTAAAATTACTTCAGAGTTAGGCTGAGGTCATCTTCCTAGTAACCAAAGACTTCCCTAAGTTGTGGACCCCTGGTGTGTGTGGCAGAGGTGGTTGTTGTACCTGTCTCCTGCTCCTTCAGCTACTGCTTCGTAAGTTGTAGCTCAGCAGCAAACACATCTGCCAGCTGTGCTGCAGCTCAGCACCTTCAGCTGTGCGCCGGCGGTTACGGGCTTCTCTTCTGGGCCGCACTTCCGTGTGTTTGCAGCACACCTCGGGCCCGTGGCAGCCCGCGATGCAGACTGCTATGAAGGCCCCAGCGCCTCTCCCTTCTTACCTTCCGGGTGTGATAAGCCGGGGGTGTGGAAGGAAAGTCCTCCCAGTTGCTCTCCAGCACTGTGTCCTTTGACACTTGCTGGCGTGTTCCTGGGCTGTTGGCAGGTTGCTGAGCATCTGAAACAGGCCTGTTGCCCTTGAAGGGTGCAGCGTGCTCTGCGATTTAACTCCGGGTCTCAGTGCTCCTGCCTCCGTCGGCGGGTGGAAACACCAGCCGGTTACCGGAGAATACGCCGATAGTCCTGCCCAAACCCCGCTCACTTCGTTAGTGCTAGAGAGCCCGCTCTCCCGTGAGAGAGGAGGGACGGGCCATCTTCCTCCTCAGCTCGCTGAGCTACCCGCTTTCCCTGTGCAGCGCACGGGAGGCTCCAGCAACCCGGCCGCGCAGACAGAACCCGGTCACGTCCTGAGGTGCAGGAGCAGGCTCGGCTCCAGGAGGTGACGTGTGTGGACACCAGTGTGAAGCACCTGACAGATCACAGCTGCGTGATTAACGTCTCTGTAAATAGATTCTTAACCGGCTTCAGGATTTCCTCTTTCAGGTTTTGCAAACGAAGTTCTTAAAAACCTGGGGGTGATTATTTTTAATCTTTGTACAGCGGTTTCTATAGCTATTGGTTCAGTAAGTCACCCCGGGAGAGGTTAAGTTTCAGTTTTGTTACTGCATTTGTGGGCAGACTCTGCCTTAACACACTCCTGACATAACCCTCTGCGTGCTGTAGTTGTGTAGATGTCCTGCCGTCGTGTTGGAATGTCCTTTACCTGCTGGCCCCCTGTCCTCGATCTGCGGAGAGAGACTTTGGTAATGCCATTGCATAAACGCTTCCAGCTCTTGAGCCTTTTTACTGTAAATGGTTTTGCCTCTTCTGAGATGAAGGTAAGAGATAAGAGGGGGTACAGGGCAGATGTCCTGGCCACAAGCAGCTCTTGGATTATCTCGTACTGCCTGGTATTAGCAGGTAGCGCAGACCTGTCTGCTTCAATTCCCCAGTGCTGAGAGCGAGAGTAGAGCTGACTGAAATCTCACGCCTGGAAGTGATTCTGTCCCTCAGCGTGATGCAGGACTGGACTAAAACCTGCAGTTTCTAACACAGAAACTGGACTAAAACCTGCACTTTCTAACACAGCAGAGGCAAGACTGACCACCAGCCCCCAGCTTAAAGCTCCCTGGCAGGCCGTTTGCTCCCACCTCTGTCGGCTGCTCCCGTGTTTCCCTAAGGCAGGTTTTGGGTCCCACCCTGAGGACCTGCTGCGGGACATCACTCAGTTAGAGCCCTCAGGTTAGAGCTCCTGCCCTACCTTAGAGCAAAGGGTAGGTAGAACCTTGCAGTCTGCATGGAAGTGTTCTGTTTTGTGGAAAATAGCAAATGCACCTGTTCTGTACAATCGTTCCTTCCCACTTTATACTTGTGCACAAAAAAAGCTTAAGCTGGATTTCAGTGTATGGTTGATGTTTGCAATATGTACTTTTTTTTTAAATATAACACAATAAATTAGAAGATATTTCATATTTACATGCGAGTCACTCTATTACTTGTTTGAAGCATGCTGTCCTCAGGGTCCACGGAGCTGGAAGGAGCTTGCAGGAAGAAATACCAGACATCACCCTCGCCCAGCTGTCAGCTTTACCTCCTGGCACTGCTCACGGCTGAGGCAGCAGTGATCTGGCTCTGGGGGCTCTGCAGCCCCCAGGATTTAAAGGCAGCAAGTCAAGGATGTTCAGGATGCAGTTTCAGCTTAGCCCATGCAAGCTGGAGCAGGAGCTGCACAGGTTTGCCTCAACGTGAGGCAGCACTGGGAGCACGGAGTGGCAGCACTGCTGTAGCTCCAGGCAGGAGGGAGCAGAGGGAACGCCTGTCTTCCACCCTCTCCCCTTTCAGCTGCCCCAGTAACCTCAGGGGAACAGCAGCGCCTACCACGCTCGAGTACAGTCCAGCTGTAGGGAGCTGTATGGAGGGAGATGAAGGTTCTGCAGCAGCAGGAGGCTGGTCTTTTCTGACCACGATTGCACCGAGCCAGCCCCTCCCTCTCAGAGGGGGCGTTTTGGTCGCCTGTCATGGTTTGGTTCCCCCCTGCACCGTGCGTAGCTGCTGCGCAGGGAGAACTAGGGCAGTTACTCTAAAAGCAAAGATCTTCCCCCATGTCAGAGTAGGGAAGAAAGCAGCTTACTGAGATTTCCAGATGAGCAGCTTCATGTGCGGATGCACCAACTCAGGGTGGTCAGCGCCAGCCTTACAGCTCCATTTCCCTAGCTCCATGCATGCCCGAGCTGCTGGTTTTAAAGGCTTTGCCACTCTGCCCAAAAGAAAAGGTGTTTTCAGACCAGTTAAATTCATTGATCTGCACTTGATGCAGTTCTCCTGGTGAGGAATGACTCAGAGTACAGCCCGAGAAGCCTTTTGCTTCTGTCTTAATCCTCCCTGACTGGTCAGAGCTCTCAGCTCTTCCTGAGCCTGCGCAGACGGACGTTTCACCTGCGGAACTGCAACTTTTGGTTTAAGCGTTTCCCTGTGACTGGAATGAGCACCTATGCTCACTGGAATGTTACAGCAACGTCATGGAATTTATTTAGCTATAGTTGAATAGTTTTAAGCTATAAAAAGCCTAAAAGATGCAAGCACACTCTCAAATCACAGCAGCCCTATGGCATCCAAGATTCCAGGGGAGATGTGAGTGCTGGTCTCATCCTGCAGGCTCCTTTCTGTTCCTCGCCAAGACAGTGACCAGGAAGAGGAACTGTTTCTCATCAAGACTTTGTCTGGGTTGACACCTGGGATGAGAAAAGGAAGGAGTCAATCAAACCAAGTGCAAGTGTTACATCCGTGAGATGTCCTGCCTGGGAAAAGAGGTGGTGGTGTCGCTTAACAACTGGCACATAAATAACCCTTTTGCCTCCAGACTGCAGGGACTAACCGCTGCCCAGGGGGTACTACAGTGTCCTTGCAGTTGTCAGATACT